CTGTACAACTTGGGGGGTTTGGGGAGAGGGAAAGTGGGAGCAAAATGAGGGAAGTGGTAACAAGTTTGACAAGAAATGTATTTATTATCTTAATTATATAACTATAACCCCTCTGTACATCACCTTGAAAATAAAAAATTCTTAATAGCTCAGACACCAATTTTGAAGGAAACTCACATCTTAATATTCTCCTTATGATCCAGTTACTATAATGATATAGTAAGCTTTGTAATACATGCAAATTGATGACTTTCATAGTTGAAAAACTTACATGAATTTATGCATGTTTATTTTAATTACAGCAGCTCATTCTTGAGGCTATTTCCAGGAAAAAAAAGATAATCATCTGTAGATAAATGTGATTTTGTGGTGAATAAGCCTCTTAAGATCTGAGAATTAAGACTGACATTAATTTTGTAATGTCATTATTGTATTCAACTCCTAGGTGAAGAGAAAAAGACATATACAATGATGGTGGAAATTACCTGTATTTAGTCAGGCTACCATTAGAAATCTCTTTTCTCATCTCCTTGAGGAATACCATCTGGCATGAGATGTTGGAGCTTGTTGAATATGCTCTTATAAAAAAAAAGTACATTGAATTGATTGAAGATTGTTGTATTTCAATAGTGGGGATGGAAGTAATCTTTGTAAATGTATTATGGTTTTATAATGGGACAATGTTTATACTCTCTCTTGCTATCTTTGTTTTTTGTCTTTCTTTCTTTCTCATAACTCACAATCCAGCTCAAGAACATATCTGGAGTCAACCACTTGAACCCCTTCCCTGCCAGCCACTTATTTTTGTTTCAGGTTCTTGATACTTCGATGTCTTTGATGTGGACTCGTTAATATACATCAATCATTCCAAAACCTTCAGATTATTAAATTCATGAAAATGCACCATTTATTTCTCTCAAATTGATCCAACTGGTTATGGTGTTGTGACTGGCTGGAAAGAAAGGTGGTAGACTCACTTCTTTGAGACTATTGACAAGAAAGATTAGAGATCTCGGTGCAGTTGAACCTCTTAGTCAAAAAGAAACAAAATTACACCCAATGGGTTCCATGACGTTGTAAGTTTTGAGAAAAATACAATACATTAAATACTATGTTTTATACATTCTGAGAACTGGATATCTGTCAAGTTGCATCTTGATTTTGTAATTTTTGTTGTTGCTACTGTTGTTTTGTTTGCAGTACTAGAGTTTGAATTCAGGACCTTGTGTTAGTAGACAGGCATTTCACCTTTTAAACTATGCCCACAGTCTTCGTTGAAGATACAAGTTTACACTCTCCTCCCTCCCCCTTACTCACTCCCACCCCACCCCACCCCCGGGCCCTGGGCAGCCTTGGATGGACAATCTCTTACCAACATGTTTCTTCAGCTAGGATTATAGATGCACATCGCTAACTTTTCTTAAATCCTGGATTTATCTGGAAATACAGTCCTCCTTATTTCTTCCTTGTGAGTGGCTAGAATTATAGGATTATACTACCATGTTTGGCAAAATTTGCTTGTCATTAAAATCTATCACCATTGAACAGGGAAGGTAGTTAAAGTTTTCTAAGTGCTGAAAGAGGAAAAAGTACAGATGAGGATGTATTCAGCAGTTCAGCAGTTTTGTATTATTCTATGCACAAAAACAGTATTAAATATTTTTAAAATGGACAATTATTATTACTTACATTTGGTTCTGTTACAGCCTGGAAGATCCTGAATCAAAACAGTCAGAACATGTTAAAAGAAGAACATTATTATAATTTTTTCACTAATGTTTTTAAAATATTTGAATATTAGGCTTTTCTTAATAAATACATCCTCTGATGGTAGATAATTTAACTATTTCCATTCAGAGACTGGATATCAGAAGCCAGTTGGAGCTTGATTGTCACAAAGAAGTAGCTGCTGTGAGTCATGGTTTTACAGAGGTAGAGATCTCCCAAGCTAATCCATGCAAGTCAGTCAGTTTGTTTTTCCAAACAGCCTTTTTGAGATCTAAGTATTATCCAATCCACTGTATACTACTAAAGCATATATTTTAATAAGACAGACACATGTATGGGCCCAGAAAGCACTGCCACATTCAAAGCAGTATCTATTACTTTCTCAAGCTCTCTTAGGTCACTGCAGGTTGTGTTTTGTTGTAACACTAATAGGACAGACATCTTCTTCTTGATATTATAAGTTCATGATACTGTTAACTAACTTTTTTTTTGCTGGTCATGGGGCTTAAACTCTGGGCCTGGGCGCTATCCCTCAGCTCTCCAGCTCAAGGCTAGCATTCTACCACTTGAGCCACAGCACTGGCTTTTTCTGCTTACATGGTGCTGAGGAATCGAACCCAGGGCCTCATGTATGCAAGGCAAGCACTCTACCACTGAGCCACCTTCCCAGCCCTTGTTAACTAACTTTATGTACTGTTATATGACAGTATCTACAACTAATTAATATTATGTAGTACCAATTAAACAACAAATTTTTATTTCTTAATCCCCTGCTCTTTGGGAGTTATCGTTCTCTTCTCTGTTTCTATTAACTTGACTATTTTACATATGATGATGTTTTAAATCAGAGGAAAAATATTGGTCAAATGCCCCATGGGGAAGTAGCATGAAGACAAACTACTAGAATAACTAATGGGAATGAAGCTTATACTTTAATACCTAGCACGTCCCCTTTCTCATTCCTCCTAATAAAAATTAAGACATTCTTAGCCCTAAACTTCTTCATTGAATCTCCTTTAAAAGCTTATTTAAAAGTAAAAAGATGATGACATAGTGAAATTTTATTTTTAAGTTAAAAGGAGCAAAGTCAAATAGATCACTTTTGTGGTGTGAGGATAGAGAACAGTAATGGCACCTCAAAAGCCTTGTGCATTCTTCATCAGTCACAGACCTCTCTGTTTCCCAGCATGACCCCTGGCAACACAACAACAACAACTGAAGATTCAGAGAATCACAAATAATATCACCATGTAACACATAACTTTTGAGCCTGACTTCTTTCTCTTAGTAAAATGCCATTGCAGGTGTTTTTTCAGATCCATTAAGGTGGTTCTGTGTAACAGGAGCATGACCCTTTTTGTGGCTACACAACATTCTACTCTATAAATGCACTTCACCGAATATCTGTATTAGGGTGTTTTCAGATAGTCTCTGAGTTACAATGATTTAACTTATAATTTCACTTTACCATGGTTTCAAAGTGATATTCATTTGGTAAAATCTTTACTACAAATTTAGATTCTGGCCAGGCAGCGGGGACTCACGCCTATAATCCTAGCTACTCAGAGACATGAGATCTAAGGAATGCTGTTTGAAGCAAATCTGGGCAGGAAAGTCTGTGAGACTCTTAATGGTGAATTAATTGCCAAGAAGCCTGAAGTGGAGCTGAGGCTGAAGTGGTGAGTGCAAGCTAGCCTGAGAGAAAGAAGCTCAGGGATAGTGCCCAGTCCCTGTGTTCAAGCACCAGAATGGGCACACACACACAAAAAAGATTCTGAATCTTTTCTCAGACTATGGATAGGTGGTGCTATAAATGAGGAGCTTCTGTTTTTTATACACAGACACGTGCAGGAATATACTTTTTTTTTTTCTGTCAGTCATGGGGCTTGAACTGTGGGCCTGGGCGCTTTCCCTGCACTCTTCAGCTCAAGGCCAGTGCTCAACCACTTGAGCCACAGCACCACCTCTGGTTTTCTAGTGGATTAGTGGATATAAGAGTCTCATGGACTTTCCTACCAGGGCTGACCTTGAACTATGATCCTCAGATCTCAGCCTCCTGAGTAGCTAGGATTACAGGTATGAGCCACCAGGGCCTGGCTAGGAATATACATTTTTATTTATCCTGTTTACACATAATCCAGCCAAGATATGCCGACCACTGCCTGATTTTATAAATGAATTTTATTGGGAAGTAGCCATTGCCTTTTGTATTATTTCTGACTGTGGCTCAGTAGTTGTGATAGAAACTTTGTGTCATCAAAGCCTGAGGCCTAAGTTATTGATTATACGTGAAAATGTTTGTTTGTTTGTTCTGCTAATTGTCTTTTGTATTATTTCTGACTGTGGCTCAATAGTTGTGATCGAAACTTTGTGTCATCAAGCCTGAGGCCTAAGTTATTGATTATATGTGAAAATGTTTGTTTGCTTGTTCTGCTAATACTGGATGTTAAACTAAGGATCTCCTGCTCTTGTTCTTCTTGCTCACAGCTGATGCTCTACTATATGAGCCATATTTCCAATTTTTGTTGGTTCATTGGCGGTAAGTGTTTTTCTGGACTTTTCTATCCCAGCTGGCTTTCAATTGCATGCCAGCTCTCAGGCTCCTGAGTAACTAGGAGTGCAGGATGAGACACCAGCACCTGGTACTGTTATAAACTCTGAACTCTGCTCTGGTGTATGTCCAGGAATGGGATCTGTGAGCTCTGTGATGGTGAAAACTCTGATAGTAGGATTCTGTGCTTCTCTGCCATTCACACAGCCTTGTGAGGTAGGCTGGCATGTTGATGGGCCAGCAGAATATGACAAAGATGGGATAACCTCACTGTCCTGGCTCTATCAGCAGGCTTGAGGTACCCAGACTTGAGCACCCATGTGTATCCAGGCTTTTAGTATATGGACCTCCAAGTACTCCAGTATGATTTTTTAAAAAAGAATCTATACATCCATTGGGCTGTCTTTGTGTCTTTTTTGAAACTGTTACCTATATTTTTATGAGATGTTTCTTGATTTTTTTGTTTTATTAGCCTATACCTCTATTTCTTTGCAAATACTAGAATTTTTTGTTTGCTATACTTTTATAGTAAAGGTTAAAATTGGGTATTGTAATTATTTAAAATTTATACATATGCAAATTTTTGTTATTCTATTTGTTTTGCTTTTCTGTATATATTATCCATTTATAACTGTCTTTATATATCTACGTCTATGTATCTGTTCCCCTATTATCAACTCATCTATCTATCTATCTATCTATCTATCTATCTATCTATCTGTCAAATACAGGAAGCTTCATGAATTTTCATCCAATTCTTGCTCAGGGGCCATGCTAATCTTCTCTATAAAAAATCCAATTCTCCCATTGCAACAATGAGATGTAGAAGACATTAGGTCAAAAAACAAACATTTTTTGGGGGGGAGAGAGGGAGATGGGAAGGAATGGGAAGGGGAAACAAAGGAGGAGGCAACAATGCTTGATAAGAAATGTACTCATTATCTTGCCCATGTAATTGTAACCCTTCTGTACAGTATTTTTACAATAAAAAATAAATGAAAATTAAAAAAAATAAAAATAAAAAATAAAAAATCCAATTCCAATGCGTGTGTTTTCAAATTTTGGAATCATGTCATTTATCTACAATTAACCTTCTAAGATGTTGCTTGTATTAAATCTATAGAAAAAATTTGAGCACAGTAGACAAGTTAAGAAGGTAGAGGGTTTTTAGTATATAAACACAATATGTTCTCCAAATTATACATATTTTTGTTTTTCTATTATAGTTTTCAGAATCGAATCTGAATCTTTTTATGAAATATTTTATGCTGAGTATGAATCTTAGCTTCAATATTTATAATAGTTATTCTATTAAAAGACATTATTTCTTTGGTAAAGTGTCTAATACCTTATGGAAAGCATACAAAAATATATTTTCATCTGTTGACTTAAAGCCCTGCGGCATTTTGTGTTATTTTGTATTGTAGTGAACTTGACTATATAGACTGAATCTTCAATGAGTCTTCCTTCCCTCCATCCTGCCCTAGAGAGATGCCAGGCCCAAATGACTTACTGTACTGGCTCAAGATCACTTTACCCTTAGAAGGTGGTACTTGGACTTCTCTCAACATTCTTTAGTTGAGCAAGTTAAATAGACTGGCTTTATGGGAATTCAAAAAACATGACAAGCCAAAAAGACATGTTTTCAGACTTGTACCTATCTTTAACTTTTATAGGCGATCCTTCTTTGTGGTGGTGATGGAAGGAATAGAGAAGAAACAATGAGCTAATCATTCTGTGAATATCTGTGTGAAAGCTGGGTAAAGGGAGAAGCAAGTACTCTACATAACCAGTAGCCCTTGCTGACATTCCATGTTTTCTAATATGGAATATTTCACATATACCTTTCCTTTAGATTATATTAGCCTTCATGATATCTATTTTATTGTTTGTACTGGGGCTTGAACCCAGAGTCTCATGCTCTTACTTAGATTTTCTCCTCAAAGATGACCCTTTACCACTGGAGACACCTCCAATTTGGGCTATTGGCTGGTTAATTGGAGGTCAGAGTCTCAGCTTTGTCTTCCCGGGCTAGCTTTGAACCTTGATCCTCAGAATCCAGCCTTCTGATTAGCTATGTAAGTGTAAGCTACCAGCATCTAGTTCATGACATTATTGAGGTAATTGATTGTTCTTTTTAACCCAGGCCAAATCAACACAATTTCCTACAAACACTGTTCTTAATAAATAAATCAATATGTTGACTATTGGGTAGTCCTCAACTCTAGTTACATACTACAACCATCTAGGAAATGCAGGGCTCATTATAACAGAATCTTGTAAGTGAAGGGTGGTGTGGGGAAAAAATGAAAATCTGGTCTTTCTCTATTAAGCTAATGAGGAGAGACTTAATATTAAATGAATACCCACATAATGGACCCGCAGTATATGGGTGCATAGTCATTATGCAAAACTGAATTTTATGGACATAGTTTTCAGGTACCTCTCTCCCCAAATCTCTGGAGTTGGCACAAAAAATTTATGAGATGTGAAGCAATCTCACTGGTTGCAGACCTGAAATTATCTCATGTTCTATAACAATATTTATCTGTATTTATAATAAAATCCAGGTCATATGCTGAGCTAACCAATGCTTGGGACTACTGATAAATACTGTAGTCATAATTGTGGCTCTGAACATGATACTCCAAAATGTGTTTTTTGTTTCACAAGCTTACCTAGAGAGATGGTCTCAGAAGTGAAGTGACTCTGGCCTCCTCAGCCTCCTACCCACCCCAGATACCTTAACAATTTGTGACTTTTTTTTTCTTGCCTAAAGTACAAGGAAAGGCTTTTCCTAAAGTTCTTCAGAATGAAGTTGTTTTAAAGGATTGAAGTTGGGGCTGGGAAGGTGGCTCAGTGGTAGAGCACTTGCCTTGCATGCATGAGGCCCTGGGTTCGATTCCTTAGCACCACATAAGCAAAAAGAAAAAAACCAGAAGTGGCGCTGTGGCTCAAGTGGTAGAGCGCTAGCCTTGAGCTGAAGAGCTGAGGGACAGCGCCCAGGCCCAGAGTTCAGGCCCCACAGTCGGACTAAAGGATTGAAGTTGTTTTAGTGATCTCATCAAATAACCAGAAAATTTTAATTACTCAACAAGAAGCTAAGAGTTGTTATGATGCCCAGGCAGACTTTCTTCTTAAGGCATCTCTGAGAGGTTGTCTAGAAGGCATGATCTGCCAAGCACCCTTTGTTCTCAGTGAAGTTCTACTCTGGCCTTCCTATTGCTTGTTATCACTCTTTGCAGAGCTGGGTGAACCCTATCTCTGTTAATAATAACCCCGTTATTAGTTCTCTAGGCTTCTTCATTTTCTTCAAAGTTGGCTACAATCTCTGCTTCCCATAATACGTCCTTCCTAAAGGGAATATTAGGCTTCAGCCATTCGACTTTTGATTTTGATTTTTTTTTGTCTGTCATAGGGCTTGAACTCTGGGCTTGGGCGCTATCCCTCAGCTCTTCACCTCAAGGAGAGCACTCAACCGCTTGAGCCACAGTGCCACTTCCGGTGTCCTAGTGGTTGATTGGAGATAAGAGTCTCACAGACCTTCCTGCCAGGGCTGGCTTTGAACTATGATCCTTAGATCTCAGCCTCATGAGTAGCTAGGATTACAGGTGTGAGACACCGGCGCCTGGCCCCTTGTACTTAAAAAAAAATTGTGAAAATACCGTATAGAGGCGTTACAATAACATGGGCAAGATAATGAGTACATTTCTTATCAAGCATTGTTGCCTCCTCCTTTGTTTCCCCTTCCCATCCCTTCCCATCCTCCCCCCACCCAGCCCCGCCACCCAAGTTGTAAAGTTTGTTTTCAACATAATGACTTGTACATCTCATTGTTGCAATGGGTCCACTTGTATCCCTATTTAAACAATTTGTTTTTCCCCATCCCCTCCACAAATTATACCGACATCAAATACAGTGAAAGCAGGGGTTATACCACAGGACATACAAAGCAACAAAGAAATAATCTTGTAAATGTGTTAGAAACAACCGCATGAAAGAAAAAAAAAACATTTGAATACATATCTTGGGGTTCATTTCGAGGTTTATATTTGGCATGGCTCTTCTGCACATGTAAATGTTGAATATGTATGTACCTTTTTCCATTCCCAGTTACTTCAGGAAGCATTCTGAAGGTATAGTTATAGCTTCTTCTGGTCCTTGATGATCTATGATGCAATGTGGATGACAAAAAAAGGAGAGTTGCAACCATAGACAGATAACAAGAAAGTTTTGTTGGAAGAGATATGACTAAACTCAACATTTGATAGGTAGAAATCACCAAGTATTAAAATTCCCACTTCAAGGGGCAATGAAAGAAACTGCTATTGACTTTCAGGCTCCAGAAAACCTGCCCAGACGCATGATAGAGCAGTGTGTTCCTGAATCTGACATCCTTTTTGGCAATTACAGAAAACCCAAATCGCTACTTTTTGGTTTTGATATTGGCCTTAAAAAGCAGAAACTGAGCCTCATTTACTTTGAGTTTTTCTGTTTCACTGCAGAATGAACTTAGGGCAGGGTCTTATCTTTGCTAGACAAGTGCACAACCACTTGAGCAATGCCTCCAATCTTTAATATTTAGTTTGTTATCCAGGTTGGATTTCAAAGTGTTTGCATAGGCTTACTTTTGACTGAAAACTTCCTATTTTTGTGTCCCAAATAGCTGAGATTAGTGGTATAAACAACTACATCTGGCTACTTAGCCTACATTTTCCCCTCCTGAGTCTCAAAATCAAATTTGGTTACGGACACTTTCACTCAAATGCTGGTACTCTACCAACTGAGCCATGCCTCCCATCTTTTACTCTTTTAAACTAAAAATATTTTGAATATTCTTAGTTTGAATATTTCTCTATCCAACTATTATTTGAATATTTTTCTCTAGGCCAAGGTTGTTTAGTGCTTTAAAATATTAGAAACTTATTTTTAAGCCACAGATTTATAGTTACATTTTTATTTCAATCTTAGAGGTAAGTAAAGTGGGACCCAAAGAAAAGATCCAATGTGTCCAATATACAGAAGACAATAAGCAAGGTGAAGATTTAATTCCTGATGTAGCTGATTCTGAAGTCAAAAGAAAGTCAAATATTCTTTTTCAATGAAGAACAACAAAATCACTTCCTTAAAATGCAAATGAAGTTTTGAGAGCATATGATCCTCTTAGTATTGAAAGAAAATCTTAGATTAATTTAGTCAAATGAAATTATGTCAGGCATGTACATAAGCAGAAAGATGTGACAAACTATGAAATTGGTTAATGAATACAAAGGTTTTGATCTAGTGATACTTCATTCTCTTTGCTGTCAAATTTTAAAGCTTAATTGACCCAAAGTCACAAAGTAAAAATAAAATGAAAACAGTTTACTTCTAACAATAATAAGAACAAGAAGACAAGACATAAGGGTGCTTTGTTAGATACATTTGGAGAAGTGATTAATGATTTCCATCACAAATGACAGAGCAAAACTGCCACTTATGGGTGACCATACTTGGAGGCTACCATACTTGGTTAGAAAAGGGAGAAGAGTGAGCAGAGGGCCATGGATGTCTTTCATGATACTAATACATAAGAGTTCATTGTACTTTTTCCTCTTTCTTCAACATCTTTACCTCTAGCTATGTGTTTGAAGCTTTCTGACATGCTCTTGATCTGTGGGGCTGCATCAATGCTCCCGATATTAACAACAATGCTCCCGATATTAACAACGAACTATGATTTGCCTGGCACGGGCAGCCTTGAAGGTTGTGTGCATAATTTGGATCTCAGCCTTTCTCTCCCTCCTCAGTCAGGGAGCTTCATTTCAAATCCTGCACCTAGAACTG